AAAAAAAAAAAAGAAAAAAAAAAGATGGCGGCCTCAGGATTGAAGGTGCCTTCCCGTTTACCTCATGTAACCCCGAGGTTAACAAAGGATTTCGTTTGACTAATGGAGGAATTATGTTGTGTTGGAGGATTAAGCTTTTCTCCAGGAGGAGCGGAGTTGTAAGAGGGGAGAGGGTGGGACAGACGACGTGAGGTAGAAAAGGCAAGGCAGGGACGCGGCGTGGCCGCATTTATTACGGGGGATTTTGAGGGCAATGTCTAAGCAAAACTTTTTTTTTCCCATTATGGAAGGTGTACCTAGAAAGGTAATCTCAGACTCGTCGTTTTTAATTGACGAAGAATGGTGTCCTGGCTGAGTAATTCCTCGCCGTGTGGAATTACGGCACGTGAGGCTTGTCTGCCCTTTCTGGCCATTTGCTTGGGGAGCTGTGGTCCCTCTTGAAAATTCACAGGGCAAACAGGTGGAGCTGTGCTCTGCATGGCTTCCCGGAGTGTGGTGGTTTGTATATTTAGCTGCCTTCAGGCTCTGGAAGGGAAGGGAAAAGGATATGAGGAAGAACGAGAGCTGATCCAGCAGGGTTGCAAACGGGTGGCTGTGATGAACTGTTAAAAACATTTCCCATGAGAAAAAGTGCGTGTCATGAGGGGGGTCAGTGGAAGCCGATGAAGGGTAAGAAATTGGACACCATCACTGAGGCTGTAGCAACAGGAATAAACAGTGTCTGGGAGAGCCAGATCTGAAATGGACAGCCTCAGTCTGCTTCAAAACAAGAATATAAATAAATAGTTCTGGCAGAGGAACAGAGGCAACATACTACGGTGCCTGTTAGCCGGCAAGCTGCTGCTTTGAAGCTTATATCAGCAAGCGTCTGCTTCTCTGGTGTGAATGGCTCGTTTTGGACAAATGTGGTAACTAGGATTAAGTCAGCTTCTTAGCTGGTTTGGGATGTTTGCAGGTCTTCTTGTAGGTTTGCCCTTATTGGTACTTGGGTTTGATTCCTTGCACTCTCTTCGTTTTCCATGATTGCTTTCTCTTTTGGAAAAGACACCAGAAAATTTGAAGGTGGAATTCAAATGTCCAAGTTGGTTAAAGCAATGATTGGAGTGGGAGCAGCAGTATCTGTCTGTGAGGTCTTGATGCTCATGCAGCCTGCTATTCTTGCCTTTGCTGGACTTGCCTCTGCAGGCTGTTAATTTCAAGTTCACCAAATGAGCCTACAGTGATTAATTTAAATTTGTAAATTCAAGTAAGTTGAGGGAGATTTAACAGAACAGCCGATGCCCTGGTACTTTCATATCTTGAAGATCTAGGGAGGAGTTATAAAATGTATTTCATGATTTTTCTTTCTAAAGAAACTTATATTTTTGTTGAGTGATGGTGAGCAATCCTAGAGTCAGAAGTCATTTTCTCATAATAAATAGAACAATAAGCTATAAATTTAATGTTGCCACTCAGGAAAGAGACAGATAGGTGGTTGGGAGTGCTACTAGAGGAAGTAAAGAAAACTGGTTAGCTTTGTGATGCTCTTCAGTATGTTCATCTTGAGTACATGATTCTGGTGATGGCTTCATAGGAACAGCATAATATGCTAAAATAGGCACAGAGAACAGCAGCCAGAATGGTCAGCAGTATTGACTGGTCTCCACATGAGGGAAAAACTGGACATACCAGGGCTGTGCTGTGTGGAGAAGCAGCAGCTGTGAAGGATGTGCTAGAAATCTAAGAATGGGGAGTGGAATGGAAGAGGTGAAACTGAGAAGTGGCTGCTGATTGTCTCTCAGGAAACAAGAAGTAGGAAGCGCTGAATGTGACTGTCAGGCAGGCAAAGGTCATAGTTTGCATGCAACATGCAGTTCATCTTTGGAATTTATTGCTGTGGGATATTGGAGAGGCTAAGGGTGGACGGATTTTAAAAAAACCCACAAGGCAATTTCTTTATCCATGAGTAGCTGTTTAACACAGTGGATCAGTGGAGACCTTTGTCTTTGAAGGTCTCTAACATCAGCATCTTGGCACCTGGGCAGGTAGGCTGGGGAAGGAGCCTTTCAAAACTTGCCTGGTACTTACGTTCGCTTCCCGGACATCTGGCACTGGCTGTTTGGAGAACTGCGGTACCACTTAAAACATCTCCAAGCCAGTGTGTCCTTTCTCCTGTTCTTATGGAACAAAAGCCAGAACGGCGTGGGATTCCTGGAAAGATTAATGATCTCTTATTCCCTGCATAGCTTTGCATCTTACCTCACTCTTTTCTTAAAAACTTACTCTTCTACTTCATTCTTAAGTTCACTTGAAAGAGGTGTTTTTCCTCTGTAAAACGGGCAGTGGGTTTGGTACTGCTGTCTGTGCAGAACTGGTTGTGTGATACTCGTATTTTTTTTTTTCCCTTGGTTCTAGTTAATAAATTCCATTAAAAGGGAGTAAAATACATTACATTTTCATACAGATTTTTTACCTGTCTTCTTCATGCTGTTTTCTAATGGTAACTGCAGCTGAAACTCCCTTAAGAATGTTATGTCACCAGTGATAGGTAGAGAAATGGGCCTCTCTGATAGTAAATGGGAAGTAGGGTGAATCTCCATTAAGATGTTTCTTAGCTTGTTCACCAAAGTGACCCTTCCCTTATAAGCTTAGGCAAAATGAGAACCTGTTTCACAATATATCAGTGAGGCACCAAGTTCTTTCTCTTGCACAAATCAGTAATAAACCCTCTATTATATTAATCAGTCAGAATGTAGCCTGCAATATGACAGTGCTCAAAATATGTCGTAAATAAGTAAGTTCTACTTTTTTATATTGCTTCTTTTCTGATGATGGATTTCAGTTCAGGTCAGGTCTCTGAATGTTCCTGGATTAAAGCTTGAGTGAGGAGTAATGAAAACTATGGAAGAGTCATCTTTTTCAGTGTTACTAAAGACACTAACCTAGTATCTTATGGTTGTGCATTTCTTAAGGGGTATTTTTTTCCCCTTTTGCAAGATGCTCAGCAGACCAGGGGGATCTGATCTAGGTTTTATATTTCGCCTTGCAAATGTAAGGAACGAAATTCCTGAAATTACCAAGATCATCTGAGGATGCTGAAGAAGTAATTTTGGAGTGAAAGTTGACACAGTTGTAAGAAATTAACTTAGAAACTAGCAGCCTCGTTCAGGGCATGATTATTCGTATTGTATGGCAAGAGTGTTGGTAAACAGAGCTGTAAGTAGGAGCTTGCTTTATTGTATTGTCATTTACATTAAAGATTGGGACAAAGCCTTTTATGCATTGGAGACAGAGGGCGTTCCAGTTCTGACCTGTGGAGTTAGATCTTCAACTCAGATTTCTCAAGCAGCCAAACAAACAGCAAAGCTTACTTCTGTATAAAATAATTCACAGTCCTCATTGTCCTTTCCATCCCCTTCTGACTTGTTTCTTTTAATTTTTTTTTAATTTTGATTCTCTTCAGCAAGAACTCTCTTTATCACTGAAAACATTATTTTATTTGTTTATCTTCTTTCTTATTTGGAAGGCAGCAGTTGTAACAAAATAAGTGGGGGTAGTGGTGTTACTAAAGGAGGAAAAACAGGAAATGTGAGGAAGACTAAGAAGCTGTGTCCAAACTTTCTTTATCTGAAGTCATGGGCAAAACTCTTATTAGGTTGCAGTCAATTACTTAAGAGAATGTGTTGCCTGTTCGTTGCAGGTAGACCTCACGCGCACCTTCACCTTCCGCAACTCCAAGCAGACGTACACAGGAATTCCTATTATAGTGGCCAACATGGACACTGTGGGGACATTTGAAATGGCGGTGGTTATGGCAAAAGTAAGTATTGATTCTCGTTTCTGCAACAGTTGGGAAGCCACTGGGTGACAGTGAGCAGCCTCCAATGACTTGTAGCTGTGTTTGTTGAAGGATGGGGTAGGCATGAGTTAAAAAATCCAGAAGAAGGTGTGGTTTCGCTGCAGAGCAGCTATGCTTTTGCAGCAATACAGTTACCAGAGACAAGGCTCCTGATATTCAGATAGTTTCAGTGGACATGCTTGCTGTGAAGCTTTCATTTTGGGTGTAGCTCAGCTTCAGATGGAGCTTCTAGAGCTTAATTTTTGAAATCTGTGTTGTGTTCCCTTCCAGAATAAAAGTTAATAGCTGACAGCAGTTTTGGAAGTGTAGGTTATTGGATAAAGCTGCAGCAGTCAGAAGTCACTAGTTAATTAGCTGACGGCCTCAAGGCTCACCTTAATTTCTTCTAGTCCTTAAACACATTCAAAAGCTTGACAGCAACTTCATGAAACACATCAGAAACGTGATCCTGAAAGGTTGGCCAAGGTCTTTGAAGAGCTGTTTGGAGTTGCCTGGTCTGTTATTCACTGTTACTCTTTCTTTTTAACAAGATGAGCCTATACTTAAAATGGGAATTCCACAGCCGAGGGAAATATGACTAACTTAGGCATTAATACCAGTTTTCTTTTTTTTTGCTAGCATGCAATGTTCACTGCAATTCACAAGCATTATTCTCTGGAAGAATGGAAACTGTTTGCTGCCAATCACCCAGAATGCCTTGAGGTACATTTTCGTACTGTAAATTATTATGGTTTATTGCTTTGTTCTGAACTCGCATACACTGGAGTCTCTTGGGAATATGGTTGTCAAGTGAGGTTTTGGGGAATGAAGATATTTGCTGTTCTTAAATGCATCAAGGGAAGTGGCTTGTCCTGGTTTAGAAAGAATAGCTATGTGAGTCCATTATAAAAGCACTTGTATTAAGATGCAAAAAACCAAAGTTTACATATTCCTGGAATGAAAACAGAGAAGTATCCTGAACAAAGAAGAAGGAAATACTTGGGGATAGATCTAAGTGCTGTGCTTCTTTTACCATCCGGAGCCATAGTAGTGCTGGTGAGGGAGAAGCCCAAGATCACAAGTGCGAATAGCCTTGAATAACCCAACCACAAGCTGCCTTGCAAGCCCATGTGCTAGGCAGAGTCTTTGATGTTGGGTGTTACGTGCACCCTAGCTATGCTGCCTAGCTTGTTCACAGGCTCCTAACCTGAGCCATTGCAGAGAAATATGTTAAGTTTAAACATTGAGTTAAGTTCTGACTTTTTCACATACAGGTTTCTTCCATGTTCTTTTGGCAGGCCACTACCCCAGGAGAGGCTGAGTAAGAGCGTGCCAGGCTGTCTCACCTCCATCTCGGAGTTCAGTGCAGTTTTGAAATATTTTCTGTGTAGGAAAGAATACCGCACAACTGTACTGTATTCTTTAACTATGGCACAGTTTAGAATTGTAAAGGCTATTGATTGCAGGATTGTCTGCAAGCCAGCCTATTGCTTAAGTTCATCAGGGTTGTGTATATGCCACTCTTGGTTAGAAAGTGATCCTGGGAATATCCTGTATCTGAACACTTTGGCACTTAGCTCATTTGTGGTTCATATTCACTGGAGTAGGATCTCCCAGTGATTTAAGTACCGACTTGCTCTGTGACCTTGGATCTCTGCAGAGGTTTTGTGGGCCAGCAGCTGTGGAAACTATTTTTCTGTTTGAAAGAACTCATAGGAAGACAAAGGAGGAAGCAATCTGCTTGTTTTCAGTGGTAGCTGACCCTGCTTGAGCAAGGGGCTTGGACTAAGCAGTCTCCAGAGATTACTTCCAAACTCAGCTATTCTGTGATTCTGGAGATCCAGGGAGTGTTGTTTGAACTTCTGACAGTGCCCCAAATTTTTCCACTCTGCTTTCCTGGAAATACACCAAGTTAAGGCTTCTTCTGTGTTTATGTTAATATGAGTACAGCTGAGCATTCATCCGTCTTAGGTGATTATATTTGCGTATGAGAATCCAGTTGTGAAGAAAGAGCTGATAAAATGCCAAATTTGCTTTATTTTAGAGCCTTTAAACAAAACAGAAGTAGCATGCTGATATTCTTGCTCGGTCCGAACACATGCCTGGTCTAGTCGAGAGGTGGCATCCCTGCCCATGACAGGGAGGTTGGACTAGATGATCTCTAAGGTCCCTTCCAACCTATGCTATTCTGTGATTCCCAGGAAGGTGTTTATTTCATATTATATAGTAGTATTTTCACTAGTTTCCAGCACAAGGACTCCCAAGACTATGCAGAAGAAGACATACGAAGGGTGTATTTATCCCAGTTTTTACAAACTATTACTCCCTTTTGTTCTCGCTGTCTTTTCAGCATGTAGCAGCAAGCTCAGGTAGTGGAAAAGCTGACTTGGACAAATTAACAAGTATCCTAGAGGCCATTCCACCTATCAGATATATCTGCCTGGATGTGGCAAACGGCTATTCAGAGCACTTTGTGGAATTTGTGAAGTCTGTCCGTGCCCTGTTCCCACATCACACCATTATGGTAAGTGTGTAAAAAGGGTGGAGGGGATGTGTGGGAATTCTGCCCAGAAATGGGGCCCAAAGTTTCTTTGGTGTAGGCATCAGAACCTCTGTGGTAGTTCCATCAATTTCTGAGTTCTCATTTAAAAAAAAAAAAAAAAAAAGAGAAAGTCTGACTCAGACCTCCTCTAGACAAATGCATGTGGCCAGATACCCTTCTGAGACTACAGAGGGCAACTCTATTCATCCACCCCTTCAGCAAGATGTTGACTCTGAGCCAGATGACTGTTTTCTAACATGTTGGTGTTATCAGTCTTCCATTGCTGGTAATTTTTGTGGGAATGTTGGATGTGTGCTCTGATAGAGCAGCTTGATGTTGGCATGGAGTGTGCATACAATTTTTTCCCTACTCCTTTCCACACCAGATGTGACCTCCAGTTGGAAAGCACGTTAGGTTTATTTTGGTGATTCTAAGCCGAGGTTTGCTGTAGTACACCAATGTTTCTGACCAGTTGAGGGTGGTGGCTGGCTTTGCTAGATCATTGTGAAGACAGCTGAATGTAGACTAATCCTTGCCTATGATAGGAGTGTTGTGCAGTTTTGAGTGGGGTAATTGGGGAGCTAAACAGTTGGTGCTGGGGCTTTTCATGTGCTTCCTGTTACTGTCCCTTCTCAGAGTGCTAATGCCATGCTTCCTCCAGCCCTTTTGCACTATGATGAGGGTGTTTGCATCGACATGAGACTCCTTGCAACAGAGCCTGCAAGTTACTGCTTCTTGTTTCTCAGGACCCTTGAAGAAATGGGTCTAAATTTGTTTCTGTGAGAACAGCAGAAATTCTCAAACAAGCAGCAGATTCTTAATGTGGCTACCAGCCTTGCTTCAAGCCGGTGCAGCAAAAAATCATGTGTTTAGGGAACACTTTCTCACTTGTTCATGCCAGACACAAAGCTTCACACACGGAAAGTAAATGTAAAGTAAAAATTATTGTAAATGCACACTCTGACTTGGTGCAGTAGGGAGCTGCATGTTGAAGCAGCTCAGGGAAGACTACATTCCTTCCCCCTGTGTTGGAGGAAGGGGCTGTTCTTAGCTCTGAATGATGGCGGCGTTGAAAGATGGAAGTGGGCTGGAATGCCTGTGGAGTTCTGGGTTACAATAGGCTGACGAATAGGCATCCTTCAACAGCTGCCAGCAGATGTGGGAACCTTTTTGGTATGGCCATATTTCCCGTGGCTTTGGGGAGAGCTTTTGGAAGTATGAAATGATAGATGGGAGCTTTTTTGGACTTCTTGCTCTATGTTCACACCGTGAGGGAAGGAGATGTTTCCTTGCCTTGGATCTGAGTTCTTGTCCCTTGTGATGTGTCTGGTATCTCTGGCTGGAAGAGTTGGGGGAGGGAGCTTAAACCACATAGTTAAAAGAAATAATAATAATAAATCTTCCCTATCAGGAGTGGAAAGGAAATTGTGTGTCATCCCTTCCTCCACCTCCCCACAGACTCTTGACCTCAGGAGGGAACTTAACCTATACTAGAGGGCACAGGAGGTTGGTGTCGAAGTTGGGTATCAGGGCCAGATTTTAGTCCAAGGTCCTTAAACCAGTCTCACCCACCTCTTAGTTTCTCTGCTTCTGTGACTAAGGTTATTGTTATTTCAGTGTCTCGTGGTGACAGCACCACCTGCTTGAGCACGTGTGCAGCCCTTACCTGTTCAGTTGCCTCCTCCTGCCGCTAGGTTGTAGCTCCTTTCTCTGAACACGGTTTAGTGTGGCTCATAATTTTCATCTCCTGCACAGGGATAGTTTCCATTCCTAAAAGCATGCTAACAAACTTGGAGAGTTCAAAAATCTGTTTTCCAAGGCCTCCAGAATCTGTGCAAGTCCCTGAAAGTCCTGATTCAACCACGGTCACGTACCTCTCCCTCACTTCCAAATGAGTTTACTTTACACGCTGTGCCAAAGTGGTCTTTTGAAGCTATTCCTGGCTGAAATGCAGGAGCTCATTCAGGCTCCTTTTTATGACACTCTGGAAGACATGTCCTACTGCTACTTGTTCTGCCTGCTTTGATGTCTCTACTATGCCTGCAGTACGCTCACTGCTGTTGCAGCTTCAGACAAACGGGCTAGCAGTTAAATAGAAGGTATAAAAATAAAGAAGCTTTCTCATAGCTGAAAGTGATCTCCGGGACCTTGCAGGCTGTCTTGTTTGCTTTCCTCAGCATGACCATTCATTCCACAGTCAGCTGCAGTGCGGTACAGAACAGTAACCCAGCCCCGGGGCTCCGGGAATGCGCGTTCCCAGGGGCCGTGTAACGGGTTCAGCTCTGAGGCTGAAAGGTGATGCTCAAAGCAACTGTGGTTAACAACGTACTCTCTGTGGCTTGTACTCCAGTGCAGATGGCGGATGTCTCTTGTGTAACGACCTTTCAAATGTGTGTTCTTGCCTTTTTAAATAGCTGCTTTCCATAATCGCTTCACCTTATTTTTCTTCTGCCTGGCTCTGACACAAGCTTTTTTCACTCCTGCCTTTCATCTTCATTTACAGAGAAGATCAGTTTCTCCATGGAACACAAAGGATAGGGAAGACAAACAGGGGCACAAAGGTACAACATGACTTGCCTTAAATCACTCATTAGATTGAGGATGGAGGAAGAAGCAGTATTCAAGTTTCCTGAGTATCACACAAATGCAGCACTGCCCCCCAGAATGAAGACTAATGGTCCAGTGAGGTGTTTTGCTCTTGCACAGCATCATGTGCTTGGGTTGTGCCCACTTGCTCAAGTCTTAAGCAGAACTTCAGTTGATGTTCATGATGGAGAGTCAGAGCTTTTATCTTTCAGTAACTCCTTCTGTATTAGTGTAATTGTAGATGTTGGGGTTCTTTCATTTCACTGGAAGTCTGTTTAGCAAGCTAAAATATCTTTGCCAGTAAACTTTTCCAAATTTTTATCCTGAATTTTTCTTTTGTAGTGTTATCTATTCATTATACAGAAGAAAGCGTAAGGAGGGGAGCAGGGAGTGTGGCAGGAGGGAAGAGGTTGGGGCAGAGCACACTTGCAGATGCAACAGCACCCACAAAACACGGGCCAGAGAGGGAGGTGAGTGAAATTGCAAAGCAGGAGCTGAAGGTAACAGCAGGGGCCAGAAGCTGTTGCTCCCCTTGGAGTCAGTTCTGCTAGAACTTCTCAGAACCTTGTTGGAGGCAGAATTTGGAGAAAGCCATGTAGACTGCTCCAAGGTTATCTTTGGATCAAGCAGCAGAGTCGGGCCAGTTGTGGCGTGTCTGCTGGATCTGGGATCTTGGAGCAGGGGCCGGCTGGGATCGCAGGGTAGGAGACAGTGATGCTGCTGAGGCTGTCTTGGTTCAGTCACCATTCTGAGTGCAGACACGCATGTGGTGTGGCTCAGCCTTGCAGAGGGCATTGTCTCTCCATCTTACGGTAAAGCACCCCTTGCTTTGGTGGGTGGGAAGTGTCCTTTGGCAGTGTTCCTGGTAGCTTGGAGGCACAGACTGTGCTTTCCTCTAGGATACAAGACAAAAGTTGGAGAGCTGTTGTCACAGACACTTCTCCCCAGCCTGATCCATTGCCATTTGCCAGCAGCTTTCAATCAGTGCAGCAGTGTTCCTGTCTTAGTGTGAGGCGATATTTATAGCAGACTTTTATGAGGCACAGTATCAAATGCCTCACTGAAATTCAGAGGCACTGCCCTACTGTGTTCGCTAATTTTGTATCTCTGTCAGAGAAGCTGCAGCCTTTATAATCCTGTTAGGTGAAATCTTGATCCTATTAAAGTCGGTAGCGAAACTCCCTTTCTGAGGCCAGGATTTCCCTCAGGACTGACACAGATCTTGGTTAGGGCTCGAATGAGCCAGGGTAACACTTGCTTAAAACCTCACGCTGGGTGACAGTAAGAGCTGAATTTTGTTGCCCTGAGTGTGTAAGGGCTGGGCCTGCAGCCAGGGGAATTTGTTGTAGCCCCAAATAACTGACCGCACTGAAAGCCCGACATTTGGTTGTTCCTGATGCTCTTGCTTTACTGCCAGGGGTGGCAAAGTTAGATTAGCAATGAGGTCATTACTAGGCTATATTTCTTTCAAGAAAGCCAGTTCTGCAGCAGATTGGAAATGCATTGGTACATGGGCTCATCATTAAAATGAGCATGGTTTTCACTACTCCCAGTGCTCACTGTGTTCCCTGACTATTTGCCCAAATACACCACAAAATGTATTGTCTGTAGTGGCTTCTTTGTACAAGTTCCAATTACATCACTTTATATTCTTAGTTAATTTTAAGAGAGTTTCACCTCTGTAGTCTGAGTCTTTCTGTATTTGCCTTTTCACATTTATTTTTAGCTGCAGTATTCTGATTTTACCTTGTAGGTGGGGCTTTCAAAAATCCTTTCGCCTCTATTCAGATGTCATACTAGCATCAATGGTAAAAAAAGCATTGCATTCAGTGGAAGTAGAGTTAAGCAGGATGTGAGAAAACATCTTTCCCTGCTCTTCAACAGGTGCCTCTCCTGTGGTGTCTTTTTTTGTGCGCTCTGAGGTCTGCAAAAGGTACTTAAAAGAAGCAAGCCTGTCATCAGCAGGTTGAAGGCTGCTGTGTAGAGCACCACGTCTTCCCTGAAAATTTGTTAAGGATCTGCAGATTCAGAACGACAGAAACCACTGATGTGTGTATATGCATTCCAGGAAAAAATGTATGCTAGGGACATAAGTGCTTTTCGCTGCTAGGATGAACATTTTGAATCAACATATGCAGTTCCAGCATTCTCTAGCAGTAACTTAACATTAAACGTCTGGTTAGCATTTCCGAAGAGACAATTTGACAACCTGCTATGCTCTGCTAATAAGAAGACACTGCTGTTTAAGTTAAATACATATTTGATCCCAAATCTCATGGAGCCGCTTACTTTAATACTGGTTTGTTACATTCCTGGTTCTGAATCTGTCACGTGTACTCCAGTATTCCACTGAGTTGTAGCATGCTGCGTGTCATGCTGCCCAGGTGGTCATCTGCCCTCCAGCTATAAAGTGCTTGATCTCTGTCACCCCACCTTGGAGTGTACAACACTCAGTGCAACAAATTACCATCGAAAAGAAAGGAAGCAGCACTTGGCTGGAAACTCTACTTATTATGTATTCTTCATTTCCTGACTGTTCTGTTTTATCTTCTTTTTAATCAATACCGTATAGGTTTAAGCAAAGTGAAGTGGTCCAGTGTCGTAGACCACAAATTGCTGCCAAACAGTATCGTCATTTTTCTAAGTGCCTCAGGTGGTGGCTATTTCAGGCTAATAAAAGGGGGAAGTAAAATTCATTAAAATAGATAAATGGTGAAATAGGAGGCAAAAATTAGTAAGTGGAGAATGGGCCTTGCCCAATATTCCCTGAGTGGCTCCTGTTGACTTAGTAGAAGTTTTGTTTCAGTAAAAACTAAGAAAATAGTAAGTAAGGATTTTAGGATTTCTCTCTTGCTCCTGCTTTGCCCATATCACTGCTACTACAAACACGTGCCAAATCCTGGAATATGTAAGAGGTTTTCTGAACATCTCCGGATCCTAAATTCAGATTGCCGCAAATGAATAGCCCATCTCAGCGCAAAACAGGTGGTGTGGGCAACTGGACTCGTGTTTATTTTGTGCAGGTTTTCTGGTTAGGAACATGAGGCAAGCCACAGAGCTGAAATCCAAGCCATACTTAATTTTAAAACATCTGATGGGATGATAGGCCTCTGGGATTCATCTCAGAGTAGGAAGGAGCTAGCGGATGTGACAGCAGGACCCCTCTCAGTCAACTCTAGGTGATTGAGACCTCTCAAGACCTTTGGGTCTTGGGAGTCTGGGGAGGTCCCTGCTGACAGAAAGCTAGCCAGCGTTCTTCCAGTTTATGAGAAGGGTGTGAGGGGAGACCTGGGAAACTACAAACTTGTTAGTCTAACTTCAGTAGCTGGAAAAATTATGGAGAAGATCATACTGACTGCTATTGAAGGACATAAAATGGTGCAATGATCTAGAGGCAGGATTTGAATGCACCATTAGAGGTGATTATCGTGCTGCAGTCAGTGCTGGCGTGGCCTCACCCTGAGGACGATGTACAGTCCTGGGCCCCACCATTTGAGAAGGATGTGAAGGTCCTCGAATATGTCCAGAGGAGGGTGACAGCTGGTGGAGGGGCTGGAAGGAATGTCCTTTGAGGACACTGGACTTGTCTAGTTTGGAGAAAAGGGGTGACCTAATCATTCTCTCCAGCTTCCTGAAGAGGGGAAGCACAGAGGGAGGTTCTGGGCTCTTCTCCTCAGGGTCCAGTGACAGAATGCACGGCCCAGAGCTGTAGCTGTCAGAGGAGGTTCAGACTTGACGTGAGGAAATATTTCTTTACAGAGAGAGTGGTCAGACCCTGTAAAAGGCTTCCTAGAGAGGTGGTTGATGCCCCAGGCCTGTCAGTGTTTAAGAGGCATTTGGACAATGCCCTTAATGCCATGCTTTATCTTTTGGTCAGCCCTGAAGTGGTCAGGCAGTTACACCAGGTCTCTTCTAGCTGAACTATTCCATTCCATTTTCTCCTTCCTGCATCCTCCTTTCCTTAGTAGTACATGCTGAGGAGACCTCTGATGACCTTTTTTACCAGTCATGCACTAGGACAAGGGATTGAGTGGGTAATCATGCCCTAGCCTAGGTTTTCATAAGATCTGAACATCTTGCCAAAAAATGAGGTAGACAAACATGATGGCGAGATATAGGCGGTTCAGGAGGTATGTGCAGGCAGGAGAGGTGGAGGAGTTTGGCTGTATAGCCCTTACAGTTAGAGATGATGTGGTTGGGAGCTGCTAGGTGAGGGTTAGAGGGATGGAAGACAAAGCAGATATCCTGATGGGATCTTAAGGATCAGGGTGTACTAGACCAATCATGAATTTGTTTGGCTTGAGAACGTACCTGTATGATTTGTTTAATCTCTGTGGCATACACAACGAACAGTATGGTGAGCTATATACTTCCTGGCTCGATACAGTTCAACTTGTAGAAGCTGTGGATAAAGTTCTGCATTATGGTCGTTATTTTTTTTTGCAGTAGTCTTGAAATCTGCCATATATGTGATATTGTTCCTTCTGTCTAGGCAGGCAATGTGGTGACAGGAGAGATGGTAGAAGAACTTATTCTTTCTGGAGCAGATATTATTAAAGTGGGTATCGGACCAGGTAAGTCAAATCCAGTCAAATAAGGGTCACTTACCCTAACGCTGGTGGAGGAGTTGTCCAGATGGAGCAGTGTATAATACTGTTTGCTTGCCCATTAGGATGCGTAGACCCCCTCTGGTCAATAGCGTAGTAGTGCCCTTGCACGTAGTATGTTTAAGAAATAACGTGTTTCATACTGCAAAGTGTTAACGTATTGCATTTCCTGGCCCTAAAGATGCCTGTTATTGGAAGTACTGAGTTGCTGCCGTTATCTCTCGTAATGTGTGTTGAGTTTAGGAATGCTTTTTCTAGCCTGTTGGAAAGAGGCTGAGCCACCCCAGCTAAAACTCAAAGGGTACTGTGTTCAGGCATCGATTTCTATCAAGGGAAAATAGGTTTCTAAGTGGTTTATGTTCTCTTAAGCTGAGGTTGCCCATCTTGTCAACGTCTTCAGAAATGAAATGATGTTAATTAAGTGTGAGGTATGGATAACATGGCTTCTACCTATTGCTGTTGCTTGGGAGCTAAAATTTACATTAATGCTCCTGGGTGTTACCCATCACTGTAAAATTCCCCATGGACAAATGGGAGGACCTTAAGCTTCTTACAGTGTCTTTCCTATCTTCCCTTCCCTAATATTTTTGTCTGGCATATACTACCATACTGTCTTCCTTTTTTCTTTCCCTCCATTGTGTGTTTCTTCACATGCTCCTTCCTCTTACGATTTTCTTCTTATCATGCAGACCTTTATGGTCTGTATCCTTTGCTGGCACAAAGTAGTCCTCAGTTTGAGGAAAAAAAAAAAAAGAGAGAGAAGGTATTCCAGAAGATCCATGGCCATGTTACCATGTTGAACTATAATTGACGTGGATTTTTGTACATGCATATATACTTTCATTTTTACATATACATGCACTATATATGTGCATAAATGAGTTTAATAATCAAATGTAATTAGTGTGTTTCCTGTAATATTACACTATACAGCTTTCTGATGATTACTTATCTCACTTTTTAAATGTGCTGATTTTCATATATCCCCAACTATTGCAATCAACCAAATATCTCTGCTTTAAGTATTAGGTAAGATGGGTTTATCTCCATTGTGGAAAATTTGCAACAAAACCCCCAACAAACCATTTTTAAAATCATACGTAAAAAAGAGAGAGAAATATTTACTGGAAGAAATACTCAGGTATTAAGTGCTGCTACTGAGCCTCACAGATTGTGACTGGTTCTTTTGCCCCTCTTTGCCTCAGGCATCTCAATCAGATTTACTTTCTTTTGATGCGGTAATTCCCTCACTGAGAAGCATTACTGGTGAGAATTAAACTGGAATTGTGGACATGGAGAAGAAAGGGGCGATATTAGTCACCTCAATTACAGCTCCCATGCAGTGGTGTGATGGCATTTCAAAACTGAAGTTCCAATATGCTCCTTTTATCCCTGAGAAGCAAGCATCGGCAATAGAGACATGTTGAGGGAGAAAATAATACAGATAGAAACACGTGGTTTTTTCCAGAAGAAAGAGAAAACAAGCTGTATCATTTTTGTGACCCTAATGGGCTGTGGGTTTTTTCCTCTCATTCTCTTGTCTAGGTTCTGTGTGTACCACTCGGATTAAGACAGGGGTGGGCTATCCACAGCTAAGTGCTGTTATTGAGTGTGCAGACTCAGCACATGGCTTGAAAGGACATATCATCTCTGTAAGTAACTATCATCTACTCTCAGATTCCCACTGTGAAAATAGTTGTGAAACAGGAGAATCAAATAGTCCAGTACCCTGCATGTTAAAAGCTGTCCTTCTGTCATCTCCAGTTGACCCCTGTACTAGCTCCTAGGGTAGTCAGCGGAGATTTAAATCTAAAGAAACCAAATCCTTTGAATGTTTTAACAAGAGTTGGGCGCCTCACTCCTCTTTCTGCCGTTGGAAAGCCACTTCTTACTCCCTGAATGGAAGCAAGCTGTTACATGAATGGAGTAGGAAGCTTGACAGTGTTTTCACATTGAAGCAAACTATTTCCTGTGAAAGATTTTTTGAAAAATGAGTGAAATGCAGACGTGATTTTCCCCAGAGAGTGAGACTTAGGGACAGGCAAGCAGCAGAGGGGAGAACAAGGTGAAATGGTATGAGCCCATCTGTGTACTGGTAGCTGGATTGGCTCAAATAGAGAGATCCTCCCAGAGCTCTCTGTGTGGGAGCAGGAGTGCTTCAGAGGTGGCTCTGTTGAGCAGAGCTGACACGTGAGCCACTTGTGTTCTTACAAAGCTCTGGGGAAATAATGAGCCTGTGGATTAAAAAAGAACATGTTATCTCTATTGCCTGCTAATGGCAGCTTCCATTCCACCAACAAGACCAGATTCATCTCACGTAGAAAAAGTAGATGTGTAAGCATGGCCTCAGACTCTTACTTCTTGGAGCTGTGGGTACAATGCAGCAGGAAAACAAGTATGTCTTACAGCCGCATCTCTCTCTTGCTCTTTCCTGTTAATGCCTACGCATTCCCTCCTCTCCATGGCTCCCTTATATGAATTTTGCAGAAAACCAGAAAAGCAGTCTGGGCTTTTGGGCAGTATTACAAATGTTTGTGTCAGTAGCAGACAGCAGAACATGTTTGCAATAGAGCGTGAAAGACTGACTCGTTACTATGAAGGCCTGGTAACTATAGGTATCATCTTAGCAGTGGTGCTCAGAGACCCATCCTAGTTTTGCAATGATCATTTTCTGCTAGCAGCCCTCAGAAGAGCATCTTTACCCTAATTTTACAGGAAGACAGTGTGTATGTATTTAGACTGTTGAAAAATGAGTTTTGAGCAATTCCTCCTCTCCTTCCCTGCTTTGGGTATGGATCCTGACCTGCTTTAGGTCATGTTGGCTTCAGTGAGCCCACACCTATCAGCTCCTTAACCGTTACAGGGGGAGTGTAGGAGGGCAATTTAATACCTCTCTGCTACAACATCTGGGCAATGAGAATTACTTTCAGCTGTAACTGGGGTCTCTAACACCACCGTAACTCGGCTCTGTCACCCAAAGCTAAGGAGACTAAAGCAAGGGTGAAGATACTATGCATGAATTCTGCAGTATGCAGATAGGTATTGGTGTGTTTACTGGGGAAAGAAAAGGCTGGACTGCATGGTCATTGCCAGACCTTTGGCAAGAGTATCACAAAAGTGAAGTATCTTCCTGAGGGAAAACCACTATATGGGAGCAAGCCTAAGTCTACAGTTGGGTATAGTGGCAGCAAGTATATGAGACATCCCTCAAAATCTCTCACTACTGTCAGGAAGGGGCACACCCTGCTGAGCCAAAGGAGATATGTACAGTCAGAGCATGGCTGTCTACGTCAAATTGGCAGGAGAACATGTGTCCAGCAGTTTTTTGTTGCATTGATACAGAAGTAGCAGGAAGGATGTGAAAAGATTCAAAGCCTACCAGCTATCTCATGTAGATTATAGCTGGTGGTGTTATATGAGTTAGTCTCTTAGGGTGCTTTCTTGCACCTGCCTCTCTCTTGTCCAATGCCTTCATCGGTCTGCTCCTCCTCCTTGTTATGTTGGTTCAGCTTACACATGAAAGGAAAGAAGCCCCAGTCATGGAATGCAAAGGTGAGGGTGCTGAGCACAGTACAGGCACCGCAAGGAACCCAGCACACTTGAAGCCCATTCTGTGGTAGCTCTGCTAGGCTGGCAACATAAACTGGGATTGTAAATGTTTGCATTACTAAAGTGATCATATATGATTTTTGGAGTTGAGACATTGACAAAAGTGACAATTTTCAGGCAAACATGATAGTCCAAGTGGACCCCTCATGTCTCTCTAGAGTCAAACAGAGAAGGGGGAGGCGAAATCGCACCAGTTACTTTCCTCATACTAATTATCCTTAAGACTCAAAGCTCACCTCAGAAATGAATCTTTCATGACTCACTGAAAGAAGAGAGGAAACCCAGTCTAAGATACCGGCACTATTTCTGTCCCGTGCTATTTGTCTGGGAGCCAGCAGTCTCAATTTTCATTCTTGCTAATCCATTGGCCTTGAGCAAGTGCAGCAGTAAGTTACAGTGGAGGGGCTGTTGAGCAGGAGACCTCCTTCAGAAACAGCCTGCTTGAGATAAAGTTTCTGTTTCTTGTAGATCAGAGAACTGTGCTGGAGAGAGAGGCAGTCACGTATTCTAGTATGCCAGCAATCTGGGGACTGGAAAGCAGCTTTCATGTGTCGTCTCTCATTTGGCTATCCTTTGATAGAGATCCCTGCTTCCCCTTCACCCGGGCTGGGTGATGGGCCTCCAGTGTTTAATGAAAAGGATGACTAAGGGGTTCTTCACTTAGCTACTGCTGTACCATCTCTTCCTCCACACAGAAATATGCCCAGCATGTGTAGTTTAGAATAAGGCACCATATGTATTGTTTCTACTGCTCTATATGCCACATACTTTCTCTGTCTTCTGCATAATAAATAGCTATCTCTTTGCTGATGCTATAGGAAAGGCTGATTATACAGTTTATTATAAAGGTTACTTGAAAATATAAATCATAGTTAGAAACTTAGTATACTACGTTGCATATAATATCAGGCATTCAACCAGTTCATACCGTTTTTCCATACTGTATTTCTTTTCCTCAGGCTAGATTTTGTTGTAAAATGGTTTCCCTGTTCAGAGAGTAAGACTGGGGAAAATAAGGTTATTTTAGCCACTGGAAAGCTGTTTTCCCCTCTCCTCCAGCTTAGCACTCAGTTGTCTCAGAATCATGATCTCTGCAGGACCCACAACCACCCTTTGCTGTAGGCTTACTTCAGAATAATGCCAGTTCTCCTGAATTCACAGAGGGATTTGCACGGATACTTTTTGTCTGAGCTCTGAGGTAGAGGCTGAGCCTGCAACAAGCTCCATGACTGAAGGCCAGCAGTTATAAAAGTCATTTTGAGTCCAGGCCCAGGCACCTGTTGGGATGAGCTGAACTGAGGGGGGAGTTTCCTGGACAATGCAGCAGAAGCACAGTCTTATTTTCTGTCAGAAAAGCGCTGACAGAGCGCTTGATTTTTCATATGGAATGAAGTGATTTAATGCCTTATTGTGTAGCATCTTCTGGCCTAAATGCTTAGTATGTCCCCTTTGTATTTCCCTTTCTTTGAATCATTAAATTTACCTGCTTGTGTGAAGTAAGTGGAGACACCTACAGATGAAGAAGTGCTGTGAATCATCATCATAGGTTCCTTTTATCTTAAATGGTAACTTTTGGGAAAGTCTCTTAATCTGCTCAGCATTTTTTAATTTGATGACACTTAAAGTGATATTTTTTAAGCCAGTGATGAATGATTAGATGTTAAGGCCCCCATCCTCTTGGTACTCACAAAAGCATAAAGCTTCCATCACTGCCACTACTGGGTTAATTAGAGAAGTCAGACACTGAGCCACCCAACAAGGACAGATTGAAACCCATCTACCAGAGAGCATTCATAACCAGCCTGTCTCAGTAAGAGTCAGCCAAATTCCCGACACTACTCTTTGAAGATTATTAGACCCTTCTTTCTGTGTTGGCTCGTCCTCCCCGACACACACACGTGTACTTGCAACTTCCTCTAGGCTCTGACAGACTTGTCAGAGTGAATGAGTTGGACAAGTGGAGCCTTTAACAGGAGAGATTCAACTGTCAGCCCAGCATCTCTTTCTGGAGCTGGCAGCAAGAGTATCTAGCTCAACAAAAGGCATAGTGTGCTAGAGGTTATCACGAAGTGGAATAAAAACCTTTAAAGTTGTACCAGGCACCATTTGCAGTGGGATGCCTTTTGAAAAGCCACTTGCTTTCGGATCCACCTGCTCGGTTTATGCTGATGGTGGGGCTGTCTGGCTGTGCTGAGCTGCAGGTCGTACACAGATGTGCATCTCTGCCGACAGGGAGTGGAAAAAAAAACCCCATGAAGTAACCCCCATGGTCAAGGGAGTAGCTTCTGTCTGCAACAGATCTTGGTTGTCAAAGGAATAGGGAGCCCTCTTGCTCTGACGACTGTAGAGTAGAAAGATCTTTCATGTGATCCTCAGACCTTTACAAAAACCTGAAGATCCACAGCGTGTGATGGGCTCTGTCATTGGTTTTTTACAGCTTAGCACCCGTGTGTGACTTCCCTCAACTGAAACCCCCTCATTAGCCACTTTGCTCTGCACTGAAACTGAAACACATAGGTCTAAAATGCTGAAGATCTCAAAGTGCTGCTTCTTTACCAAACCCATACCAAACAGTGAGGAGTATGATAAGAGATTCATTTTCATTTACCAAAGATGAGAATACCCAATTTGCGTAGAGATTATCAGATCAAAATCCAGTGTAGCTGATGGTATATTTCCTTACCCCTTCACCTGTGACCTTTTATTGTAAACTGCTGAGAAAGTTGTTTTAAATGTCTTTGGTGGTTAAAGGTAGGGGTTTGTGGTGCCTCTGCATCACACAGACTTTCGTTAAAATGGCAGGGAATTATTCAGCTCATCAGAGGCGGGTTTGTTTTTCAGTTTCTGTGATTTAAGAAATTGCAGCCGGGAATTTGTATCGCTCCTGTTACCAGCAGTATTATCAGTAGACTGTAGAGTAATTGAGCATGAAGAGGGAAGGCAATTGAAAGGATCATATGGATTCCCTAAAAACTCAGCCAAGGTGATGTATTACTAATGGTGCACCGGCAGCTCTTGACATGCTTTTCCTGAGCAGGGCCCGTTCTGCTGCAGGTGGCAGAGTGCCAGTGCTCACCGGGTCCCTGAGTGAGGTCACCATGTCCCTGACCCAGCTCACCGCCACTCACTGTCCTCTTCTCATTATGCAGGATGGAGGATGCAGCTGCCCAGGAGATGTCGCCAAAGCGTTTGGTAAGGACAGAGCCCGGTGCCACCCGTCACACTCCCTGTACCCCCAGCACCCTCCACAGCCATGCAGGAGTGGATTCGACCAAATCAGTGTGTCAGCAGCAGTAGGTGACATTCGGCCCTGTGGATGATGGCAGTGAAATTAATACACCCAATGTGAATTAGCTCTTTGGACCAGATAGTGCAAGATTCCGCAGCACAAAACATAAAATGGTCAAAGTTCTACTCAGAAACTGTCTGCCAGGTGTGCATGGGCTAGATACAGCCACTGGGACAGTAAGAGGAAGAAAACTGGTAAGGTTTTCTTCTGACTTAGGGTTCAAAGATGCCTGTAACATTGCCAGATCTGACTGACCTAGGTCTTGAATGGATGAAGAGGTGGTGGAATGTTTGTTGGACGAAAGAACAAAAGAAAAAGGCAGGCCAGGTCCCTGGAGATGTTCTTGGGATCAGCTGTCCAGTTGAAGAGATGAGATTTTATTTATACTGTATCCCCTAGAGATGAGCAGATGTCTAAAACATCTAAGTTAATAATTAACAGATTTTGCTCTCCCGCCATTAGCTTTAGTGAATTGCAGCAGCTCGTGCTGATAGAACAAAGAATTTAATCTGTGAGTATCTTCTCTTGGGCATGAAAGTTACATCGGTGCGGGGGTCAAGGTCAGGACTGTCAGGTAGCTACAACCTTGTTGCAGCAGCACTAACCAAGCACTGAATGCTGACAGGTGATTAAACAAACAGTGCTTGTCGCAGCAGCGTGAACCAGGTGCTGAATGCTGCCAGGGCTTTTAAAGACAGTCCCCCACCCCCCAGAATGACACTCTTTGGAGATATCACAGTGGAGGAATATCCAGAATACAGTGGGGCAGCACAGTCTCCCGCTGGGATTTCGATGTGTTTAGGACATTATGATACAGCACATTTGCTTGGCAGGAAGCTTTGCAAGTATGGGAAGCAGAGGCAGGCTTAAACTCAGATTACAGACCTGCCAAGAAAAACTCAGGGCCTCCTGGAAAGGTTGAAACCAAAATCTGTCTTCTAAGTTTGCAGACAGCTCCTGTTTTCAGACAGGTCAGATGACAAGGAAGACTTAATTAGAGAATTTTAAGCACAGCTATGGAGTGATTGCTACCAGTAAAGAATCTGCTCGGTCACAGGATTTCACGGCACCCTTGTGTTACCCGGTGGGTGATGTGACATAGGGATTTAGAGACTTCCACTTAAGTGATTCTGATGTAGCTGAACAACAGCATCCACCCTCTTTGACAACAAGATTGTATTAAAAACACACCCGATCTCTCCTCTGCCCGGCCCACTCTGACTTTATGCCGCCTGCAGTGAGGCCTTTGTTCTCCCTGACTTTTCTCTGGCTCCGCAGCTCGCCTGGTTCTTGCTGGCGTTGTCATTGGGAGTTTGTGAACTGGGACTGCAGTTTTACTGCTTTTCCAGCTGTCTGCACAGAAACCTGGCCTGTGGAGAAAGCCTTTTTTTCAGCAAGAGCGTTTCCAGAAGTTAGAACAACAGGAGGCAACTTCTGAGTGCTTACAGTGTTTTCCTTTGTGGTGTTCATGGCAAGCCTGAAGGGTCCTTGTCATCTCTTTGGGCTAACTGGACTGAAACTTGCTTGAAACCTGTGAAAGGGGCTGATTCTGGCCATGCTGATTGTCAGGAGGTACTGAGATTCACAGTGTTTGAAGGTTACCACAGGTTGACCCAGGGACGGAGGAGCATCAGAAAGCTGAGATTATCTAGGCAGCAGTTCTACTCTGACGGTAGGGCAGACGGATCAGTGTGACCTTTGTGTCATAGGTACAGGGCTGGAACTCAGTGAGATTACCCTCAGGCAATAAACCTGCCATACCCGATTACGTATAATTGAGGTAGACATCCTGTGGACATCTGACCAGCTACAGCCAGGCATGTGTTTCTCAAAGGTGGGTGGCAGAATAAGCTTCTACGTAATGTTATTACTATCAGTGTTTTTTGAATGCTGTTAAGGTGATTGTAGAAGATAGCCTTCAAGGCTGGATTAGCCCGTCAAGGCTTTGGCTTGTAAAGCCGTGATACTGAACTGCCTAGCACAGACCCTCTGCGCTTGCTGAGAGCCTCTGGCTGGAGGAGTTACATAAATATATTAGATAGCAGAGAGCAGGTGTTAAAACATAACGGCTGTACAGTTTCACCTGGGGATGGAGGCTTGGGTAAAGCATGGACAAGAAGGCCAAAGAGGACTCTGGTTAAAGTGATCGTAGGATATCTTTTTGGTAGATCATGGTAAAGTCTTCAAGAAAGGGATGTTGAGGTGTTCATTATAAAGCAGTGACAAAGCAGCCATTTATCACAGAATCACAGAATGTCAGGGGTTGGAAGTGACCTCAAAAATCATCTAGTCCAGCTCCCCTGTCAGAGCAGGATCACCTACAGCAGGTCACACAGGAACGCGTCCAGGCGGGGTTTGAAAGTCTCCAGAGAAAGAGACTCCACACCCTCCCTGGGCAGCCTGTGCCAGGCCTCTGTCACCCTCACAGTGAAAAAGTTTTTTCTAATATTTTTGTGGAACCTCCTGTGTTCCAGATTTGAATCGTAGTAAGTGGGAGGGAGTCCCAGATGTGAGGACTAGCATTGAAGAATGGCTTAAAGAGGAGACAAATTCATGGGAACAGGAGGAGTAGAGTGGGTTGGGTGCAAGTGAAGAGTTCTGGAGAACCATGAAGAAGATGCTGAGATGCTTTACAAGTGGAAAATGACAGCACCAACTGGAGTCAGAGGCAGATGGGGCATTTTGACAGAGGGGAAGCAGGGTAGAAGCCTGTTTAAAAAATACAACAGTGAAAAAATAAAACAGTGAAGCACTGAAGGTGGGAAACAAAAATGTTGGGAGTGACAGATTTAGAGAGACTGTTGGAATTCTGGAACTGCTGGATGGGAACCTTTTACGTAGTTGGGAAACTGAAGATGTCACTCCCATCTGGATGTTGGAGATTATAATGGAAAAGATGTAGGTTGATAGGAAGAGAAGAGCTTTTTTTTGTTTCAGGAATGAGAGAAAGCATGAAAAAACTTTGTGTTGGGCTCTTGGATGGTTCCCTAACTCTACCCTTGGAAAGGCTGATAACATGAACGCATTTCTTGGAATGCCCCAGGGAGCCGCTACTGTCTCCCTTTTTAAAGATGTGAAGTCAAAGCACAGAAATACTACGTTCAGTTGCCTGAGGTCACATATATTTTTGCGACACAGCCAGGAACAGAATGTGCCTTTTGATTCCTACGCTAGCATCTTTAACACAATAGTGCTGTTCCTTACAGCAGTGGTGAGAAGAGGTACAGGAGCAGGGAAGGAAGTCATGTAGAAAAGCCGACTGGGGACATATAGTGGTTCCAAAATACACCTGGCATCATCCTGGCTTTTTTTTTTTTTTCTTCTTGTTTTCAGTAGCTGTGTGTATATGCCTACTGTTGCAAAGGCTCACTGGCTCAGCTGGAGCACAGGTGAATGTTGATTCCAGGGCCAACTGTAGTCCAGGCAAACTCAGGCTGCCTCTGCCTGGGGGGCTGCCCAGGCTACAAATCCAGGCTGACTCCAGCTGAAATTGTGCAGAGCCAATCTGCTTATCAGGGAACTTGTATTACCAGGTGTTCGAAAGACATCTGAGAGACTCCATCCAGGTCCTGCAGAACTGTGTGACTGCTGCAAGATGGGGCTGGCATCAGCACTGGCTTGAAAGAGAAAGCACTGTAAAAGGTGAATGAGCAAAATCAGCCCAGATAGAGCGAAGGCCTCAAGGGGGAAGCCCTCCCCAGCGTCAGTGCATTGAAACGGTGTGTAGGAACAAGATGAGTCTAGCAAATTCTGCGTGAGCTACTGGGATGCTTGTGTGCAATGCACCCCATCACATCCTGTATTATCTAGGGGGTTGTTGCCAGCTATTCCCAGTCTCCTAGAACCTAAAACAACAGCATGCTGTCTGTACTTGAAAACGGAAGACTGCAGCTGGATGTTGCAAACATCACCAGCGCTTCTGGTCATAACAAAAAAAACATGCATAAAAGTAAAGCAAGACCATGCTGAAAACTACAGCCTCCTGGTTGCATGTTAACTGGCACAAAAGTAGTGGAACAGAGTTGAAACTTTGACACATCTTTGCAACACTGCAGCAGGGTAGAAAGTCCTGAAGAGTGTTAGAAAAGTCTGTTTGTTGTGGGCTTGTGATTCCTGGAGCTGCAGGGCAGTAAGCATGTGTCATTTCAATGTTTAGACGTGCTGCATCTGCTGTAGCATGGCTCCTCTCTTCTGGAAGAGCTTGATGAATTATGTTGTAATTTGCAAAAGTTACTCAAATTGGATGAGTTTCAACCCTGTAATTGAAACGCATTTGCTTTCCTCCCAAGATACGCAGTCGAAAGAAAAATAATAAATAGATGCCAAAGTGCAGAGGAACCAAAATGCTGTGATTCTGAAGTGTAGATTTCGCGTGACTGTTTTGCATTAGTAGTTTAGAGGTTGTGAGACACACAGCCAGAGACAGGACTAGAATTGGGGATCAGGGGGTAGCACTGACAAGCCAAAGAGGCCAGAGTGTCCCTTGGCATACTTTTGACTTGTTTCACACACTTCTTCAGAACCTTGACCCCAAATCCTTTCTCATGTTGTCTTCTTCCACCCACGAAGAAGACATCAACTAGAGGGTGCTTATTTTTTGTAAAGGTGGAGCCAGATCACGCCGGGTAACAAGAGCAGCTCCCCACCAGTAATTGAGAATGTTTTAAAGCACAAGCGTTCCCTTCGGTTTTGGCAGGTTAATAGTAGTATTAGGTGTGAGTCAAACAGAGACTTCAAAGCTCTGCCATCTGAAACAAGAGCTCAGGAAAAATCTTCCAGGTAGCTGGCATGATAGGACACCTGAATGGGTGCCTGGCTATAAATACTGCTTGTGATGTGCTCAGCAGTTTTGCACAAGACTGATTTTTAAAAGCCCTTTACCACGGACGTGCTTTTCCTTTCAAACAAGGAGCAGGCAAAGGGAGGTGAGGTCAGCAGAGCAGCTGGGTGCTCTGCTCTTGGGCATTGCTGGCAGGTCTGCTCCTTGGCAAAGGGCTGCAAGGGAGGGAACTGGCTCCACAGTTGTCACGTGTTCTAAGATCAAAATATTCCCAAATTCCTGTTTAGCTAACAGAGCTTTTAAGCAGATGGCAGAAGCTGAGCAGATTTGATAATGATTTCAGTCTTCTGATTTCAAGGTCCGATGCTGTTGTTCGGGTAGTGACAGAGATCAGAGCAAATTCTAATGCCAGGCCTACCTGGCCTGGGATCTCCCTAGAGTTCAGACATGTTCATAACAGGGCGGGGTTAGGTCAGGCTTATCTGCTTTCTATGAAATGAGGTTTATAACCCTGTTCTTTTGCCAGTTCTGGGAAGATGCTGGGCGGAGGGGAGGCCTGTTCTAACACACACGATGAAGAAGCAGAGAGTCTGAACAGGAAAAAGCTTTGTTTCAGGGATGGGTCAGCACAGGCTAAGGAAAAAGTAAAAGCCAAAATTCTCCGAGCAAGACTAGACATGCCAAAATGTCACAGGAGTTGCTGCTGGTGGATTAGTTCCAGCCCAGCTGGAAATGCTGGAAATCACAGTAGAAAATCAAGAGTGATTCCAAAAACCTTCTTCATGATCTTAACTCCCAGTGGAACTGATTTCATGATTTGCAAAGCCAGCAAAGATGGACAGACTTAAAGGCATGACTGAGTGTTCGGTGCTGTTACGCAGTATCTGGAACATACATAGGAGTTGGGTTAGACCTCCTCTGTGGTGTGTGCTGAGCACCACAGAGCCCAGGGGTAGTGGTTCTTGGCCCAGAGTTTTTAAATAGCAAGAAGCAAATACAGCCCCATCCAGATCTCTTTGATGAAGGATCACCCAGACCTGGCTGGTGGAGTTGAAAAATGGATTCCTGAGTACTGCAGGCATCATAGTAGTTAATTAAGAACTATGCTCAGATACTACTGTGAAGTAAAGGGTTAAAACTGAACTTGCAAATAAATAGCCTGGGGTGGAGTAAAATAATCTATATCACAACAGAAAAGGATTCTTTCCATTTGAAATACTAAAAAAATACAATTCAGCATGCGTCCGGTCTTCAGTAAAGCATTTCTTCCAAGTTTACTGTGAGGAGTCTCTCTGTACCGAACTGTTTAGGGCTTACTATTGTTTTTGGAGGCTGCTGTGTTCTTGCTTTGTCTTTCACCTTCTTTCCCTGCTTCCTTACATGTCACTTTGCTGATCACAGGAGCCGGTGCGGATTTTGTCATGCTTGGAGGAATGTTTGCAGGCCATGACCAGTGTGCTGGAGAGATTATGGAAAAGAATGGCAAGAAGGTGAAACTTTTCTATGGAATGAGCTCTGATACAGCCATGAAGAAGCACGCGGGAGGGGTTGCTGAGTACAGGTATGAATTCCACCCAGAAGCAATTGCAGTGAGCCAGGAATCCAGCAACTTCTAGAGAGGAATTCTGCAAAAGGCATCCATTGGAAACAGATCCATGCTCCTAGGAAGCTGTTATCAGCACTTAGGGCAGCAGATCTGAGGGAGGGATCAAGGGGGAGGCAGGGAGGAGGAGCTAGGGGTGGCTAGCTGAGAGCAACCATGGTCACTCAACTGCAACCAATGCAGCGTGCTGTCACTGCTCTGCTGGCTGCTGGTCTGGGAACTCATCAGGCACTGCTCTGACTTCGAGATCTCTGAGGATGCATGCAAATTAAACGCTGGAACATGGCATACCAGTTTGTAGCCCTCTGTTTGTCGAGGTTGGGTGTCCTGGTTTACCTGTAAGGCTCTTTTGGTACCACAGGTTCAGTGTGCTTTTGCTTTCAAGCACGACTGTTTATTTGCAGAAGAAAGAGCTGCACGAGAGTCTGTCTGCATCCAAGACATGCTGAAATGATGCACCAGAAAGCTGTGCTGCATCAGACCTCTGTGCTTCGATTAACTCTGGGTTCACGTGCCAGTTTCCAGAAGCAGTGTACAATTTGGGGGCTTTTTTTTGTCCCTCAGCAAATCTGCTTGTGATCAGAGCTTCTGAACAAACGGTCTGAGTGGACGGCACTAGTCATCGCCTCATAATTTTAAAGTGGCAGCTACCAGTTACTCGGAGGTCCAAGCAACCTTTTATCTCAACTATGGTAACTTACTGTCCTTAGCTACCCTGTGCTTGTGTCAGCTGGCATGTGGGAAAGGCGTGATGCTGGTCAGCAGCTCCCTGAGAGATCACAGCCCAGCAGCTGTGCCCCTCTCAGGGCAGCATGGTCTTTCACAGCCTGGCCATCAGCTGGTAGAATTTGCAGGAAAAGTTTGAGGAAGTTTCCTGTGCCAGTAGGCCAAAGGACTAAGGGCAGCTGTTAAATTCTGCTGTGCCTAGTTAGGCGTGAGCATGGTCTGGCAACAAAATTTATCACCAGCAGGAGAATTGATACTGACACACCCCCCCCCCCCTCTTTAAACTGAGAGAACGTGCAGATGTTATGTCTTCTAGGAGTAAAGAGTGTGCAGAAAGGTGCTGGGTTTGGCTCAGTCTAGATAGATACTTTCTGTTCATTATGGACAATACTACACAAATTCTGCTCGATCCCTAGCTGTATTTTGATTTGTGTCCTGATTTTGGAGTCCCCTGCTGATCAAGTTCTGAAACCTTCTCAGCAACAAGTGAGCAGAAACAGAGTTGGAAATTTTCAGTCCCTTGAGATATTGCCTTTCTGTGCTGCTAATAGGTAATGTGGAAGGATCTAGTTCTGTGTTCTAGGAGTTAGTTCTGTGAAGGGTCTAGTTCATGTTGCAGCTGCGACGCAGAGCTGGTAACCCATACCGACCTTGGTCTTGGTCTTGCTTGGCCTGTCACAGCATGAGTGCCATGAGTGGTTTAAAAATAGCAACTTTTGGTTATCCAGCACTGGCAATGTGCTGGGCATCGAAGGGATGATCAGAAGGAGGGCAAGGCTTTGGTTTGAATCCCTTACAGGACGTTTAGCCACTTAGCAGTTCAGCTTATGGCAAACTTGAACCAAAAGGGTTCTAAGTTGGCATTTTAAATGCTGGATACCCCGGACAGGACAAGTCAGTGGGGCTTCTTTATATGCATTTGAAAAGCATATAAGTCTGTAAGTCTGTATCAGTGACCCCAGTAAGTTGTTTTGTCTTCAGAAGAGCATGAACACTCGCCATGTTTTATTTGAGCAGTGAGGAGCTCAGCATGCTCAGCTACTCGCAGAATCAGATTACTTGTCACTTAACTTGATCTTCTTAAAATTACACCTCTTGGCTAGAGAACCTGAGCCTCCAGCAAACAGTTAAATTAAAACTGACAGGTAAGGTGAGCCGGCTGTAGCGGGGAATAAAGTCAGGAGCGTAATTGTTTTTGTAATGAATATGTCAGGTTGATCCCATTTAATTTTGTATGAAATCTGTGTACGCTGTTTCATTACTTTTATGTCATTTATATATTGGTTTATTTTTGCATTTTTACCACCTTCCACAAGGAACGTGGATCAGAGGTGGGAATTTCTGAAAGGCAATTATTAAGCTGCTTTTATGGCAGAAAAGATATGAGGGAAGCAGGAGCAGAGATCACACGCAGCGTAGAGCCAATTTGCTTTTCTTAACCCTTTGGAGATTTCACGGGTTTTTTGTGAATGCTGCCAGTTCTGTGGTTACTCAGCAATTCCCAGCTGCTAAGCTGGGCTTTGGCACTCTATATTAACTGTAGGGAGGAATTTATGCCACAGAGACTGAGTAGCACCAACAGCTGGCTGCTACTTGCTGGCTTTTTTTTGGTATCTTACTTGCTGGCTTTTTTTCGGTATCCCAAGTGATAGCCTGGAAGACCTGCCCCCAATTCCTGCCATTTCTTAAACGCTCCACTCCTAAGGTTGCCTCATGCTGGCTCAGCCTGACCCCTTGATCCTGACCCACATTTTGCTGAGCTGACAGAGCACCATCACATGGGCTTCACCCCATCCACCCTACCAGGAGTCCCACCCACCACAAATGGGACCCTGTGCAGAAAGTCCAAAGTAAATCCTATTCACCATCCAGTGGCTACTGAGAGAGAGTCTCTGCTGAGACCACCTGGGCATGCCTTTCGTGACTGCTGGGAATCCAAATTGCTCTGTCTTCACATTTTTTTATTTTTATTTTTTCTGAAAGAGGGTTAGTTTCAGGTCATAACTCTGGGAGAGATGTCAGAGCTGAAAATCCCTGAGCAGTTCCTGCTGACTCACTTACGCAGCTCTCTGCCAAGTGTGCCAGCTTTTGGGACACCGCTTGTTAATCTGTGCACGGCCTGTGTGCAGGCATTTGTTGCAGGCAAAACAGTCTCAACTTGGGGATTTTTTGCTCAGTTTCCTTTATTGCCAACTAACACAAACTTCTAATCGCTGTTAGGTAATTAAACAAACATGGAATTAAATGCCTTGCCTCTCTCCTTTTTCCAGACTTTACTTAAGCCAGACCCCTCTCTTCGCACCTCTATGTCTCAACTCCTATTACTTTCACCACAGGCCACTCCTTCAGTGAGGAAAGGGGTGGCACAGGACATTGTGGTTTCTGTCTGCCACTCCTCCTTCTTCCTGTGCCTGCTCCACCGTGGGATGTCCACGGTCCCTTTGCGACTGTCCCTGCTCTGGCATGGGTCACCCAGGGCCTACAGCCCCATTGGGAGCACAAACCTTTGGCATGGAGCACCTCCTTTGGAGGGTGCACCTCTAGATTCACGTCTCCTCAGGCGTGTCCAGTGCGTCTCCTCTCCCAGTGGCTTCTGCTGTTTCTTAAATACACTTGAGCAGAGGAGTCATGCTCCCCTGACTGGCTGAAATTTTGGTGGCTTGCACCATTTTCAAAACCAAGTGGAAGCATCTCTGCGGCTGGTGTGAAGCAGAGAGTGGCCTTCTCCCACACAGGTCACACTGGCAGCCCTCGCTGCCCAAACGCTACCATATATGCCTGACACAGCCTCACTGTGTGTAATAATTGGGTGCTCGTGTAAATTAACTGGGTGCTCACGCATTAACAAATTGGGTGCTCATGCATGTAGTAGCAGGGTGCTTGGGCATAAATTATTTGGGCATGCATGCACGAACTAATTGGATGCTTATGCAAAAATTCACTGGGCATTCATGCATAAATTAATTGGGCACTCGTGCATTAGCTTATTCAGCGCTCATGCATGAACTAATTTGGCACTCGCACAAGAATGCAGCAAGCCCGGCAGTTCACAACCGCTGTGACACTGCTCACCTCTGCAGCACCCATGTTGAAGAACTCTTTGAATGTTAATCTGTTATGAACTCTTCCAACATCATTATAATCCTGACATGTATCGCTTAGAAACTCCACTCTTCCTCCTTTTGGACCAGGTTAATACTGTAACTGTGTCCTTCCTAAAATGTCACTCCTCCATCCCGAGCACCACATTGAAGGGACTAACATCACAGTTTGGTTGTACGCCCGTCACAGACTTCCCACCCCTGGACAAACTGCAGTGCAATAAGGTGTATATATAACACTGATTAAAATTCCATCTGATCTCCCCTGGGAACCACGTGACGGGAGCCGTCTGCATGATCTGGGCAACACGTTACCTCTTACAAACTCTACCCCTTTCTCCTGGGGACTAGAGTATTGGGGTTAATGTTAACACAGCCTGAATGTATATATTTATCACAAACTTCACCCCCTCATCCCTGTGGACAGGACTTCAGAGGTTAATATTACAACAATCCAAGCACATGCTTATTACAGAATTCACCCTTTTGTTTCTGCAAAACACATCTCCAGGAAAACCTCAACAGTTTGAATGACAAATGCCATTATGTTTGAATTACAAGCCCATTACAAATGCCACCTCTCGCCCCTGTGGACCCCTGTGTCAGGGTTAATGTCCTCATAATCTGAATACTTGCTACACTTTGTAGGACTTGTCCCTTAGCAGATTGAGTTATTCACTGTACATCGGCATAAAAGCATATGATTAGGAGCATACAAGCACAAAATTAACACCACTGTTGAAGGTACCAATAGTGTCATGCAGTTAGTAGCTGTAGGGCTTCATTTACATCCAGGGGTAGGGAGTGGGTATGAGTGTCTGTGAAAACATGGAGAATTTTCATCCCTTTTTGACACTTTTTCCAAGGATAAACACAAACCTGGACTCAGGCATTTTCAGTGGAGCTAATCTCATGCCTCTTTTCCAGCATGCTTCCCCCAGTACAGTATCTGTAGTTTATTTCTTGATCAACAGGACATCTCACCAGCTTATCAGCTGATACTAGAGCCACAGTATCAACTATCTGGCTGTCAGAGTTTTGGGGCTGTGATGTTAGGTGGCCACCACTTCTGCTGGTTTTGGTCTCTGAAGCCAAAAGTGACATCCCACAAGCTCCAGCTGCCTCACATCACCGTAGCCACTGCAGGGCCATCTCCTAGGGGCAGGGGCTGTAAGTGATTTTGCTCTGGAGGAAAAACAAAAAAAAAGACTGCCAAGTATTCATGCTTCTGGGAGAAATGCTCCCATCTCTGCAGGCCTGTGGAACCACTGTAGCTGGGGCTGCCTTTCTTTCCCATCAACTCAGCTACCAAACCCCTGCAACTTAGGCCTTGCATGAATTAACAGGGCACTCACGTTTGACCTGATGGGGCATTCACGCATAAATTGCTTGGCCTCTCATGCATGAACTGGATGGGCAGTCCAGCCTGACTGCAGCAAACCCTGCAGTTCTTGTATGATACAGCACGCAGAACTCTTCAGGTAGCAGGATCTGCGAGGTGAAATTTGCAGTGGTTTCCCCAAATCCCAGACACTCACTGTCTCACAGACTCTCAGAGGAATTCCCTGGAGGCCAAGTCGAACCTCCTGACTTTGACTGGAGGAGGGGCGCATGACTGAAAACCAAACTGCAGTGCAGGCTCTACACCACCACCGAGCCCCGTGCAGTCTGTTCCGTGGCAGCGGTACCCGCGTTTTCTATTGGCCCCTTACCCCAGTGTTTATTTTAGAGTTTCACGAAAGAAGTCAGTTACTCATCTGATGTAGGAAGATTAATCATGGTTCCTTATTCACATGGCATATTAACACTTCTCCTTTATTGTCTTGCTAGGGCTTTGACCACACATTTAAACTGGCAGAAGGAAGCATAGGCAGGCTCAACACTGAAGTATCTCCACATAGCTGTGTGAGTGCTGTTAATGATTTACAAAGGGTGCCTCCAAACAGGCATGCCCGTACTTTCTTGGACTATCCCCTAGACAACTTGTTTAAGGGAGAAGCAAATAAAGCCCCGTTTACAACAATGCCAGCTCCCTGACTCTATTTCTGCCTCCATTCTGTAGGGGGGAAGGAGAGCAATTCGCTCGCCCTTCCTCATTTCCCTTGGATCCCGCTTCCCAACACCTACTTCTCCAAAGGAGCTAGCTTGCCATGCAGAACAATTTGCTCTAAAGCCTGATGAGATCAGTTGGCGACTGGGGAACTCCGCTGCAGGAGGAATTGCGGAGCATGAGGCTGGAGAAAGCTGAGGGGGAAGGAGTGAAAGTAATTTGCCTGGATTCTTCCATCATGTAACTCTTCAGATGTGCTTTTTGGGAACAGTGCAGTCTGTGCTGGCAAGCACCCATACTTGACAGTATTTGCAGCGCCGCTGGTTTTTTTTTTCTGGCATTTTTGCCTGGCTCTGAATTGTGCTAGCTCACCTTTTGGCTTTAGACGACAGCTCTGCAGGGGGGGTGTTCTTTAACAGGATTCCCACTCTGTCTCTGGAGAATCGGGCTGGTAGGAGACAACCAGAGCATTCCCATCTGCGTCTAGTGAGTGACATGGGACAGAGGCCAGGGGCTGTGGCGCTCAGCTGAGTGGTGCCTGCTGAGAACTGTCTCCAACATTTCTGTGAGTTGCCTGAGCCTGGCCGTACCTTACACTGTAAAGCTTGCAGCTCTCAAGGTCAGATTCACCTTTCAGTAAATCTGGAAGCTTCCCGTGCTTGTAGGGAGATGGTGGAGGTGAGGAAGGAGCAGATCTATAAATACAGGATATTGGGGCATCTACTGGGATTTGTCTAGTTCCCAGTATTGCTGGTGACTGGAGTTGGGGGTGTTTCAGTGCTTGAGAGCACCAAGCAGCAACAGGCAAGCAAGTGATAAAGCCTGGGGCACATTTGCAAACTGTGGCCTGCAGAGTATTAAACTCTGCAGTAAACACCCAATTATATTAGGCTTTGCATCTTGGCATAAATGCAGTAACCTATCTCTTCTCCAGGGCTTCGGAGGGCAGAACTGTGGAAGTACCTTACAGAGGGGACGTGGAACTCACCATCCTGGACATCCTCGGCGGGCTGCGCTCCACCTGCACCTATGTGGGAGCTGCCAAACTCAAGGAACTGAGCAGGAGAACGACGTTTATCCGAGTCACCCAGCAGCACAGCCAGGTGTTCTCCTAGCCCAGGGCTGGGGGGAGGTGGAGAGGGAGGGGTGGGAGAGAGGAGCAGGAAGGGCTGCTGATTTGGTTTGCTTTCTCCTCAACAGTGTGTTAGCAGCAACTTGCCTCTCTCTCTCAGAATGGCAGCATCACAGCCACTGGAGGGGCTGTGGCTGGGATTTGGAATGGAAGGTCGTGCTATTAACACAGTGCCATGGGTTCAAAATGCAATAGCTTCATCTTTTATTGTTGTGCCTATTTTTTAATCAACATTTCTTCACCTGTTTTCCCCCCTTCCCTGATAAATAGCTGCTGAAACCTCAATTACCAAGGAATTAGCTTGTACAGACATGGCTGTTACGCCTGCACACGTACGCACATTCCCTTTTTTTTCAAGAGTGACCTGTCAGCTACTACCATTTCTGGCAGTGCACCCTCCAGAAATTGCAGACTGGGAGAGAAAAAGATGCATGGAATTGCATGGAGAAATCAAAAAAAGTCAAATTCTCTTCTTTGTTCTGGCAAAAAAAGCTGATGTTTGTCATTCTGTGATGTTTGTGGCATGATTGCCAGCCTGCAGAATGTCAGAGGCTGATGACTTCTTACTCCTATGATAATAAAAATGCCAGCTCTCTTCCGGTCTCCACTCACAGGGCTGATACTGCTGTTCTTACTTAAATCTTGCCTCTTCAGAGAAGCTGGCATTGAATGTAGCAAACTCATGCTGCTCCCCGCTCCCCATCTGTGGAGATCATTCAGGAGAAAACGTCTGAGAGCTTGCCTGCTTTTTTGTGCATGCCGTTATTGAATTTCGTGGGTTCCTGCTTTTACCTGCTCTCTGTGAACAGATTTATTTTTTTTTAAGACACCGAAACACAGCACCAGTAAACCCACCAAGGCAGGAGAGGGTTCTCCGCAGCCCTCCCTGGTCCCTTGCCTGTTTGCCGCCATTTAGCAAAGATGTAAAAAAACATGCTGTGCTGTGCATTGTCTTGAGGCCTGAGGGATCAAATTCACTTCTGGTTATTTGGTACCACTTCTTTGCAGTCCTTGACACCACGAAAAGTAAAAGAGAGTTTTCGGCAGAATAGCCTGATTGTGGTAGGCTGAGATGGAGTTAAAGCATTTGCTCAAAATGCAGTAATGAACGCTTAAGAGTCTGGGTAACAGTTTAATAAAGCATAATGGTCTGCTAATTAATTGATAAATCACAACAAAATTTCTTTGGAAATACACACTGCATCCACATGTATACCACAGCTGCTCATTATGATAAATGATGTAAAAGTGAACACCAATGAATTAATAATGCTTGACCACTTACTTTAAAGCGCTGCTGAGCTCGTGGTGCAGCTGATGTTACTCCAGGACTTCAGAGTCTTACTTTCCCCTCCTGCAGGCATCTGTGGAAAGAGGTAGGCTTCCTTTGAAAAGCAAAAGAATGATCTGTAGGAAGAGGAATAGCAGAGGGAAACTCTAGAATTAAACTCACGTGCTGGACTGCTTGAAAAGCCACGCACAAGGATTGGTACAGCTGCCCATGCTGAGGAGCAACTCTAGGCCACAAGCTGCACCCTGGTGATTTTGAAGTGTGTTGTGCACATTAGAAAAAGCACAGAATAGCTTCTAAATAGCCTGATATTTTAAATGTCCTCCATTTAGCGTGTAGAACATAATCTTAATTGTGGTATGACCCTTTCCTCTGCTTTGAAGGTGAATAAGGGCCTTAACGTGAGCACAGGTTACGCTGTGCTGGCTTTAAGGTCCATTTGTCCTGTCTGCATACCATAAAGGAACCTCAAGGCAGAAGCAAAGCAGGCCCTCTGAATAAAGGACCTGGGATCTTTCCCTCCAGCCTGAAAGCATCCCTTGTAGCAGATGTCAGGCTGCTTCACCACAAACCCAACCATGGGCCACGTACTGCTCGTAGCTGCACTACGCCCAGCGTACAGGCGGTGTTACTGCTCCCCATCAGTGCAGCTGTAGGAGGTCACCAGTCATTTATTTATGCAATGTGAAGGACAGGGGTACGAAGGCAAGGGAGCAGCTCCATCAGGAGTGAGGTCAGAGCCATCAGGAGCGGGGTCAGACCACAGGTGTGTCTCCACACACGTGCCTTCATACGTGGGAAGCGCAGCAGTGTGCTGCTCTCACTTGCCTACGCTCGCTAGTGCTTTTCTACATCTTTTTTTTAAAAGCGACATTTCTAAATGGAACTTGAGAAATACATATGCATATAAATATATATATTTGTAAGCATTTTTTTAAGAAAGCTCATACGCACACTGAACAGAGCAGCTTCATGACATGCCTTCAGAACAGGATTTTTTTCTCCAGAGGACTGGTGCTGGCTAGCAGGGGAGGGGGTGTCTACCTGTCCATAGGTGTGGCAAGCTTGGAGCCTCCTTCCTGGGCAGGCTGCACGCTCACATGGCCCTGCTCTTACACTTGCGTGCCTTCCTCTTCTGCACAGCCCTCTCTGAGTGACTGGTGACTAATAGGAAAGGGTGGGGATAGGCTGATTAAGTTGTCCCTCAACTGTGAATGACATTGATGCTAAGACTAGTTACTGATAAAGCTTTGACTTAGGGTACTTGGATTTCTAAATAGCAGCCCCTACCATCATTTTGATAAGCAGCATGTTTTCTTTCTATTGCATTTTCTCCCTCTCTTTCTCTGAAGTGAGAGAGAGAAGTCGGCTGCAGAACAGCAGAGCTGGTGGCACGTCTGCATCACAACCAAAGTTACGTGTGAGTTTTGTTCAGGGATAACCCTCAACTCTGCCAGCACTCATCCCTTGTATGGTACGTGTCCTGCTCTCAGACAGGCTGTAAAAATGGAAAAAAAAGACGAGTTTGAGCCCCCTTCCTTTAACACCCAGTCCCATGCTCTAGTAGTTGCCCCGATGTTCCCTTAGCCCCAGGTGTTGTGCTCTCCTCAGGCCCACTGCTGCTCTTGCAAGGACCCTGGAGCAGAGAGGGAGCTGGTCCTGGAGGAATTGGTCCGAACAGAGACCACAACCACTGACCAGCACCACATGCAGTCTGTGGAACTACCTCACCTCCACATGTAACAGGTTCTCTGTTGCTTGGTGTCATTTTTAAGTACTTAGTGCTGGGTGATGGTGTGTGCCAGCCCATCCTGTCTAGAAGATCGCTGTGAGGGTGATAACCTGCACTAGACGCCCAGGTCATGCCCGCTCCCCACCCACCAGGCAACTGCTGAGCACCCACATGCAACGCTGGGGTTTGGCCCAGTGCCTTCGCAGTGATCTAATTGAACGTACCAAAGTCCTATGAGCAGGGCTGCCAAAAAGGGCGACATGACATCAGCAAAGCAACCCATGCTGAACATGTCCGTTTCGGGGATCTTGAAGCATAAGGACATGGAGAATACCCCCACTGCTCCCGGTATTCTGGAGCAACCTTTGCACAGCACGTTTCCCGGGGAGGGGGGGGTCATCTCCCTCCGTGGCGAGGAAGGGCTTGGCACAGCAGCAGCCTTCCTCGCGCCCAGGTGACTGCGCGGGAGAGCACACGTGTAGCCCTCCTTGTAGGCGTGAGGCCAAGCCTGCTAGGGAAGCAGGCCTTCAGCCAGCACCCCATTGGATGCAAAACACCCGCCTGGGTCTCTTTTCTCTGACAGAAACTAGCACTAGGCACCTGGGATGCATGCCTTCCTCCAGCTCATTGCCACAGCTGTCTCATCGCCACGGGCCATGAGGCAGGGATTTTGGATGTGCTCTTCTCTGCAGCTGCCTTCTCACCTTAGGGCATGGCAGCGGGCAGGGAGGGGACTGAATATATGCTGGGGCCACCCTATAAATGTGTGGAGTTGTAAGCAGGGGCAGGAGGAGCCTCTGCTTACATTTGGAGGAGATTTTCCCCCACTAAGTGCCTCTGTCTTCCTTTCA